AACAACTTGGGCCTCCCCACTTAGGATCCAAATTAAGAGAAGTGACATACAACTGAGATGCCCAGTTGGAGTGATAAATAATCTTCTGCTCCCTGCCCCTAAGAATCTAGAAGATGACTTTGGGAAGTGCAAGTGGGGCCAAAATGGTGAGGCTTACTTACATCACGGTGGGAATTATTAGAAGGGAAATGAATGATAATACCACAAGTAAATTGGCACTTGGCCATCTGAAATTATAATACACACTCCAATTTTCATTACCAAGGGGACCTTAATTATGTCACTCCAGCAGATCAAAACTCCCCCTTTGATACCTAATATAATTATTCAATCATCAATATCAGGCTAAAGGGTTTAGTATAAAAGGCCTGGACATGCCTCGTCCAAGTGGAAAGTTTGACACAGGACAGGAATATGGTATGTATTTCACCATGGAGGGCAGATTTGCCTCTTTCAGTGCCAATTAAATACTTATTCTATTCTCCCCAAGGTCCATGGCTTGCCAGGAAAACCAACAGAGACAGAAGCAGAAGGAGTTCTGGTGTCACTGAAGAATTATCACCGTATCTTGTTCTTCAGTGACATTTTATGATGGACTTTCAAATATTTCTTGCAAAAGAAGCTGGAAGGACATATCCCACAGGGGTCAGTGCTGGGATCAATACTCTTTACTCAACACTCTTTAATATCTTCATTAATGACCCTGACAGTGGGGTCAAGCACACTCTCAGCAAGTTTGAGGATGACACCAAGCTGTGCGGTGTAGTTGACATGAGGTTCAACAAATCCAAATGCAAGATTTTGCACCTGAGTTGAGGCAACTCTCACTACCAATACAAGCTGGAGGATGAAATGATTGAGTGCAGGCCTGCTGAAGACCTGGAGTACTGGTGGATAAGAAGCTGGACATGAGCCAGCAATGTGCCTTCACACCCCAGATAGCCAACCATATCCTGGACAGGATCAAAAGAAGCATAGTGGAGGGAGGTGATCCTGCCCCTCTGTGCTGGTGAGGCCTCACCTGGAGTACGTGTACAGACGTGGAATCTTTGGTACAGAAGAGACATGGACCTGGTGGAGCACTTCCTGATGAGGGCCACAAATGATCCGAGGGATGGAACACCTCTCTTGTAAGGACCATCTAAGAGAGCTGGTCCTGTTCAACATGGAGAAGACTGTGAGGTGACCTGATCTGTGGCATTTCAGTATCTAAATGGGAGCTATAGAAAAGGGACAGACTCTTTAGCAGGGTCTGTGGTGATAGGATGTGGGGAAATGGCTTCAAGCTTCAAGAGGGTAGATTCAGGTTGGACATAAGGAAAAAGTCTTTTCCAGTGAAGGTGGTGAGGCATTGCAACAGGCTGCCCAGAGGTGTGCTGGATGCCCCATCCTGGAAACTTTCAAGGCGAAGCTGGATCAAACCCTGAACAACCTGATTTAGCTGGGGATGTCCATGTTTATGGCAGGGGAGGTGGATTAGGTGACCTTTAAAGCTCCCTTCCAACTCTAAATATTCTATAATTCTTACGATAATTGAAGACTATAGATTCTTTAAGTCATGATGAAAAAACTGTATCCACTCAATGGGAAATAATATCAGCATCACAGTAAATGTCACAATTGCAATTATGAACCAGACTGCAAAGGATAGCTTGACCCTGATATGCTCAGCCATTGGTTCATGTTCTGAAACACTCGTATGGGAACTGTTAGGTCACAGCCTGAACCAGTGATTGAACCTGGTAAAGGGGCAGGGCCAGCCCTGGTTGCACAGGTGGAAACAATTCCCCTTGTAGCTATTAACAGAGCAGGAACACGTGCATTGACATAGCTCCAATCATTATGAAACGTGAATGGATCAATTAGAGTCCCATGGCAGAGCTAGAAACTTGTCAGGAGATGATCTGGATGGCCAATGCCCCTCAAAGCAAAGATGACTCCTATACTTAACAATGGTGTCTGAGACCAAGTGTCTTGTATGCATTTCTCTGCAGCAGGAATAGTATTTTCAATTTCAGAGTTGTATTACACAACATTCCAGGGGTAAAGGGGAAAGCAACCAATGGCTTCTGTAAAAGGACACTGTTTCCCAAAGCAAAAGGAGCTAAAGGAGAGAATCAACCAGCATGTGCGTAATGGAAATACAATTTATACAGTCTGCAAGGATCTCCGATACAATCTGACAAAACAACTAGTCATTCACTGAACATGCTTAAGGAAGTTAAGCTGCCATAGAATCAAAAAGGAGATCTCAGATAAGCCATTAATGTATAATTGGATAAGAAAACAGGAGACATATATGTTGTACTCAGAGTAGAGAGGTGGTTAGATCATAGTTTGACAAATCGTATTAACAGTTTCTAGCATTAAGTTCATAAGGTGACAGGATTGAGCTGTGACTTTATAAAATCATAAGCGATCTGAAGAGGGATTGACAAGTATTAACTTGATTTTACGATTAGTTCAGGAACAAATAAACAAGAGATTATATGCCTACGAGCAGTAGACTTTACTGCCAGTTTATAAAGTGCCTAAAATGACATGCCATTTTCCTGACTGTGTAAGGGGGAGGGGAAGGTGTGCTTTTTAATAGCTTACTTGAAGATGAGCAGGTTTGTCACTGATACTCCTTGTAACTGAAGGTCTTCAATTTAAGAATTTTTGTAGGAGTTACTTATCATATTCTTTTGTAAATAAGACACTGTTATTACCAGGTAAATAATACCAGAGGATGCTAGTTATGTTCTGAAATACTTGATATGTTGGATGGCTAATGAAAAACAAATTAGTATAAATCTGTCAAAACTTGGAAATTGATCAACATTCACTATTGATACATGTAAAGATAAGGGAAGAAAGCCAGAAACTCTCAAAAAACTTCATTTATTGCAGTACATTCCTCCTTTTTCCCTGCTTTTACCAATTATTCCCTAACTACTCTTCCTTCACTTGTATGGAATTACAAGGACACTGAACAACACAAGCACATACAAATTCCTCCTGCTACTTTGTAGTTATGGAAGGCTCCAACCTTCACTTCTGTCTTTCAATTCATACACCAATTTCTACACTTTGCCCCTCACAAATCCTATCTTAGTAAGTACTATAATCCAATCAAATAGCCACTCACCTAAACTTCCCCCTCTTCAAAGATGTACAGGGATCACACAAAAACAATATTTCAGAATTTCATACATTCACAAAGGAGTGAAGAAAATACAGTAAGAAAATCCCAACTTACTCTATGATCACATAGGTTATCAGCAGAGAATGCCTGAATAAGTACACAGAACAGTTGATAAGTATCTTGATAATAAGTCACCAGGAATATTTTATTGCTGATTCAATGGCTTACAGTCTGTTTCTGCTTCCTTCCAAAACAATTAAAAAGAAAAAGAAAAAAAAAAAAAAAAAAAAAAAAAAAAAAAAAAAACAAAAAAAAACCCAACCCAAACACAAAAGAAACCACTGCTGCAGACAAGACAATTCCAGAATGATTACTCACCTTTTACATCAGCTAATTCAACTAAAACATAAAATTCTAGATAGCCTAAATAATAAAATCATATAAGGTATATAAACCACGGGTAATCTGAAGAGGAATGTACCATTCCACCTCTTTTCTTATTTCCATCCCCGCTCTTCACTGTATCCTCCCCACACCTTGTTACAACTCTAGCAATCATCGTATTTTTGCAGCACTCATTCAGCTCACCTTCAAGAACAGGAGAAGCATGTTTTTCCCCACTGCATGAGTTTTGTTTTCTTGCAGTTTAGCAAAAGCCTTTAGATGGGCTTAATCACTCTACCTTTTAGCTGCCAATAACAAAGCTTGTATTTTAGGATTTTTTTTTTATTTTTTTTATTAAGTTCTCAGGAGAATGAGCTATGGATAACTATTTGATTACAAAGCATTAATTTAACAATCTTATGCATCACAGCTTTACACAGTACACACATCCATACAGTACCTCAAGAAACATTACATACATTGCTCATTTCCTCAGCCCGTGAATTTGAGTAGAGCATTTAGTCTCCCTTACTGAACTTGGGCTCAGAACACGTTTTGACTGTAATGCAGTGTCCAAACTACCACGTAAGACTCAGTGAGTCTTCATACTGCTAGCAGCAGTTCAGGGACCATACTTGGAACTGCTGCTGCAACATGCTCTGCAAAGAGGAAGTTCCTCAGCTGAAGGAAGAGTTATTGCTTCCCTAGACAAGCCTTACCGCCTGAGTGAGAAAAGCTCTTATTTAACCCACCGCTGCTTGTAGACAAATGTTCATCCTGTCGCCAAACAGGCTGCCCTGAGGACCGTCCTGCTTACAACGTTACAAAGCTTCACCTCAGGCTCTGTTCTGGTCACCTTCGCAACTTCAGGGGTGAGGCCTAGCAGAAGGCAAGGCTCCTACCACAGCACTGCCAGGCAGCAAAAACCTCGCCTAATGAGAGACGGATGCTGGCAGAAAGGCACACGGCTGGCCCTGAAACAAACCACCTACGATTACGCTTTTCTCCACGGCCTGAAACTTTTCCTCCTGCCTCTTGCTCTAGCATACTCAGACAGGACTTGACTTTTAAGGAGAGACACATCTTCCACCCTGCCTGCGGCGCTGGTTCCTCCTGCTCTCCTGAGCAGGCGATAGCAGGCGGACCAGGCGCTCACTGCCCTCGGCGGGCCGCAGCGCCGCTCCGAGCTGAGCCGGGTCTGCTACTTCGTCCCAGCCGGCGGCGGTGCAGCAGCGCGCGAACAGAAGCTCCCAGCCGCCTCTCGCGTTGGACTTTCACCCTCTCCCGAAGCGCACTGCCTCACCTGCGTAGGCAGAGCGGACGCCACCCACTACGGAAAGGAAACGTATCCGCCCCAGCAGCCGGCGCGGGGCCCCCCGGGAGAGCCTCGGCCCGCTCGACCGCCCGGCAGCGTCGCTGCCCCTGACGCGGAGACGCGGCGCTGCCCTCACCGAGCGCCCGCCGCCACCACCCCGCTCCCCTCTCTCACCGCAGCTCCGGTCCCTGTTGTCCTCCTCCTCCTCCTCCTGTCGCCACGCATCCCGCTCCGCCGAGTCCCGCTCCCCGCCCTGCGCCTCCACCGGCACCACGGTGAAGTTGGTGGGCATTGGCGCGCCGCCGAGCCGCACGCGGAGCCGGGGACTCGGCAGCACCTCCTCCGAGGTAGCGGGCAGGGTGAGCTCGGCGCTACCGCCTCCCTCACGTGAGAGCCGTTTCCTCGGGCGGCGGGAGGTGGTGGCTTAGTCCCTGTCTCCACCTCCTGCTACCGCCGCCCCTTTCCTCGGCCGAAAGCGCTTAGGCCGAGGCTGTCGTGCGAACGGCGGGGGCCGCCTGGGGTGCGCCGCAGGGGAAACGAAGGCGAGATACGGTGTCGGTGAGGGTAAATAGGTCCAGCCGAGTGCCGTTGCGAAAGCGGCGTGAGGAGGGTGTGTCTGGCCAAGTGCTTGGAAGATAAACTGGATTATTTAGTTTCGTTTGTTTGCTTTCTAGCCATGGCTATTGGGCACGAAAAAGCTCCTTCTCCTTTGTCGTATCTTGACTTCCGTACGTGCCTGCAGCACTAGGGCTGACAGGCTGTTGCTTCTCAGTTAGCAGCAGACAGAGGCTAACTTCCAAAGGAAACTAGGGCCAGGCTGTAGGGCGCTGAACCTCTAAGGGATGACACCATGCACGAGTCCTAAGCAGGAGCTTAGCAGATCAGCTTTTGGATACTTTTAGACAAAATAAGTCCTCTGCACACTACGGAATTGTCAGATGTAGACGGTTCCTAGAAATCTGCTCTACACAGCAGCTGTCGGTTTCAGAGGACAGCGGAAGGCTCCACCATCCATACTAGAGTGCGCATATAAGCTCTGACCCAGGGTGAAGCAAACTCCAGGAATCAGTGGATGGGCTTATCAAAAAATTAAATATTCATGAGGTAGCGTTTGCGATGAGCAGTAGCTCTCGATTACCCTAAACTTCCTTCCCGGTGCAGGGAAAAAGTGGCAAAAGCAGGTTTGGAAACTAGAGCCTTTTTTTTCTTCTTCTGCTCTTCTCCTTTCCCAGCAAAGTTCTGTAACAGAGCAGAAGAATTCCGTCAGTACATACCAATGCCTTTTGTAAGAGGACTCAGATAGGTTTGTGGGTCGCATGCCTCAGTGGGATATCTACCTAAAGCAGTGATTGAGTAGAGGCCTCCAAAGAAGTGGGTGGGAAATTGATTCTGGCCATCAAAATGATAGTGAAGTCACAGATGTGGAGATAGTAGGGCTCATAGCAAGGAAAGGAGAGAGAAAGAGACATAACAGCTGGATATCTAGTATGGTCTTGGTAGATCTGCCCCCATTCAAACTATGGTATAACTACAGTAATGGGAACGTAGCTACGTGAAAAACAACTGTCTTAGGAACGTCCTTCCCCTGTGTTGTTCCAAACTCCAGAAAATGAGTGGAATACTGCCTTTGTTATTGACAGTAGATTCACAGTGTTATTAATTTTACTGCAGAGGCAAGGATATTTTGGAGCACATTTTAGTTTAATTTCATCATGGTACAGGTAATTATCAAAACTAGTGATACTAAGAAACCAGAAACAATGATAAATTATACTGACAAATGTAATTATCAAAAATACATAAACATTATAACTCTCTCTTCAAAACATGCTGAATAATGTCCATAGAATCATGCATGAGCATTGAAAAGAAAATCAGAAGTAACTAACTGGTGATTTTTGAGTACCATCCATCTGGTGCTTAAGAATTCCACTGGAAGAAACAAAGAAACTCATGTACAATGACGTACATAAAAACCTTATCACAGATGGTAGAGTGGTGAGAAATTAGGATTGTGGTGTTTAATTCTGATTCAATTTAATTCTGATACAATTTCTACGTTCAGGAAAGGTCAAGAGCCAAAAAATAAGAAACTTTGGAACGAACAACTTTTGAATGAACAGAGGAACCAATTTCTTTTAAAGCTCCATTCTGTTGTAAACATGGAGATCCACATGATGAAGTGTAAGTGTAATTCTATAAAGAATGGTAAGATCAAACAGGGTTGTGGATTATCTCCAATTATGGATACTCTGTCATATGAGAGCTGTGATTTCTGAGCGCCCGGATTCCTTTTGCCCAATATGAACCAGAGAATGGGAAAAGAAACTCTATTCTTAAGTTGTTTTTCTTTTTCTTTGTTGTTCATTTCAACCAGCGTGAGAGAAATAGTGTTGCAATACGTGCCAGGTTTAACACTAGATCATCTTTATTGTATCCTTCTAGGAATGAGAAATGAAAGAAGAGCAAAGGTAGAATGAGATTAAGACATTGTACGGATCTGTGTATAAAATGCACACTGTTGGAACGATGCATTACATCATTAACTAATAATTCATGAAATATTACATCAGAGTTTTTATATATATAAATAAAACCCAAATCTCTCAACTTGTGACAATATTGCTTTGGACCACCACAATGTTTTTGTTTGGCAAGATGGGAAATAAGAGAGGGGAGCTGAAAACCGTGGTGCACTTGGGAAATTTTGATCTTACTGCAATCATGGAAACATGGTAGGATGATTCACAAAACTGGAACACCACCACATTTTAGAAGGGATAGGCAACGTAGGAGGAGTGGGTGGAATCATTGCCTTCTGTGTTAAGGAGTGGAGGAGCTCTGAGAAAGAGCCAGGAACAGGCAGAGAGCCTGTGTGTTAAAATTAAGGATAGGACCAATAGAGGACAGTTGGTGGTCAGGCTCTACTACAGGTTGCCTGTTCAGGAGGAGCCTTTTGATGAAGCCTTCATTTGTAAGCTGAAAGAAGTTTCACACTCAAAGGTTCTCATCCTGATGGGTGATTTCAACTAACCAGATATCCACTAGCAAGACAACGTGGTGAGCTGCAAGTGATCCAGGAGACTCCTGGAATCCATTGACAATAACTTTCTGATTCGGATTTTGGACAGACCAATAAAAGGTGAAGCGTTACTGGAAACGATGTTCACTAATGTGGAGGAGGTTATTAAAGATACTGATATTGAAGGCAGCCTGGGCTGCAGCAACCACACCCTGGCTGAGTTTATGATCTTGAGGAACACGGCACTAGCAAAGAGTAGAGTCAGGGCCCTGAATTTCAAGAAAGAGATCTTTTGATTGTTGAAGGAATTGTTGAATGAGATCTTCTGGGAAGAAGACCTTAGAGACAAAGGAGGTGAACAAAACTGGCTACTCCTTAAGGATGCCTGTCTGAGAATGTTCCATTTCTGAGGATGTTCAGAATAAGAAAGGAGGTAAGGGAGGCAGGAAACCAGCATGGCATGGCAAGGGCCTGCTGGTCAAACTGAGGGTAAAGATAGGCAGGTACACACAGTGGAAACAAGAGTGTGACACCTGGGAAGAATACAGGGATGCTGTCCAGACTTGCAGATAAGGGATTAGGAAAGACAAGACACAGATGGAACTTGGTGAGTGTTGCGGTTTTGTGGTTTTCTGTTAGTATTCCTCATCACAACAGTCAGCAAGACTCTAGACTCTCAAGACTCTGGACACTGTACGAGTGCAGTCAGTGCAGTCTTCCTTTTCTAGCAACTGCCAGCTGTGAATGAATCTGTTCTTCATTTTAAGAGCATTATATAAAGAATTAAAGACCATTATGTTTCTTGGAACTTACTGGTTTCTTATTAGGCTCATCATTTTCAGTTTCAGAGTTGCATGTATGTATAACCAATTAAGGGCACTGATGGAGATATTTGGCTGGTACCTATACAGAGGGAGTAGCTAATTTTACAAACAAGCACGAGCTTGGCTTGTGCTTACTGAGCTTTATATAAATCTATACAGAAGAAAGAGAGTTTCCAAGCTGAGATGCAAAACAAAAGGGTAAATCTCGAGTCAAACCTGTCCAATCACAGGAGGCACTAGTATCAATGTCAGTTGCCCTTGTGGAGGGGCAGAAGTGGAAATGGGTGTCATCAAATCTAGAATGGAAAGAAGAAGTAGAGGAAGATCCAGGTGAGGGGCCTGTCCCAAAATCGCCATAATTGAGAAAGGCAGCAGAAAAAACTAAGAGACGTGGAGATAAAAGTGAGGAGGAGGAAGCCATTGTTACCACTACTCATAGATCCCTGAAAATGGGTGAAATCTAAGGCTCATGAAAGGAGCTCGTATGGCAGCCAAACAAAACTATTGTCACCTGTCTGCTTTGGTGTTGGGACAACAGGGCCAGTAGTGTGTTTCTAGATTGCAACAAAGCTCATCAACTGGGAAGCTTTGCCAGAGACTCAGCTATTGACAGAGGAATCAGTAGATGTCTGGATGGAGTTGTCACCCTCTGGGAAGGAGTGTCACTAGCTGTGAAGGAAAGATATCCCTTCACAGATGATCTGGAGCCTGAGATGAGAAAGTGGAATACTGTTGAATCCAGTTGTTGTATCCAGTATTTGAGAGAAACAGCTGTTGTATGGCCCCAAACAACAGATGTTGTATGACCCCATGTTTGTTCCTAACAACCCACCATGATCCTGAGAGAGTTAGGAGTACATCTGATATATGGCAGAAACTCACAAGAACAGCACTGGAAAGATACGCTGGTATACTTGTAGTAATGTTCCATAGGGTCCTTGATGAGGACCAACAAAGAAGACCCCAGTTTTTGAACTGATTGTTATGCTTCAAAACTTTGAACAAAAATTACCACCATCCCATGCCTCCATATCAGCCATTTCCCAGGTAACAGAAAGACTAGATAAACTGGGTAAGATGATAGATAAAATAATGAAGAAAAAAAAGGATGGTATGTTGGAGGAATTGTCTCTATTGATTAATTGTGATGAACTCATGGTGGTATCAGAAACACCTGATGAAGATCAAGATGATCAAGAGTCTGCTGAAGGAGCTGATCAAACTGATTAAAATCTCAGCTATCAAATGCAAATGTCTTCCTGCTTGAGCAAATTACAGTAGTAAATCTATGTTGCATGCTGCCTTGTAGAGTTACTTCCGTAAACATGGAGGAAACATGAAGAAGTGGCATAAAAAACCCAATTCTGCACAACAAGCACAAGTGAGAATTGCAAAACAGATCAACCCCCAATTAAATTGCTCCAGTTACTGCAGATAACCAAGATAGGGGCCCTGTCCTCAGAGGGGGGGGGAAGGAAAACTCACCTTTTAACAGCCTCATATGGCCAGTGTGTAAAGCCAGTGGAGAGTGGAGGCTGATGGTAGAC